CATATCAATTCAAATGTATAGCTATTACGTCTATAGCATTTGCCTTAAATATGAAATCGGACTTATATTAGATTTATCGGAATATCGGATTTTTATCGGATTTATATCGGACTTTCGTCTTGATTTCGGAATTTAGGATTATTATTTCGGACTACTTATTAAAATCCGAAATATTTCGGAAATAGAAATATAATTTCGCCCAAACCATTAGCTGAATATACAGAAGAGTTTAAGAAAGAACAGAAGATAGTTTGACCTCTATAAAAACTGTTACTTATAGTTGTTTCTTCTATCTTTTTCAACAAGTTTTTGTTTTTGTTAACTGTAAGTTTGGTTCAAGTGATCATTGAGAAGAGTTGAAATTAATAAAACATGGTTTTAAATTTTTTTTTAAAATTCTTTTATTCTTTTTTTTTTATTCTTTTTAATATACTATGTTATAAATATTAAAAATTAATTTGAAAAAATACAAAAATAATTAATTTTTATTATAGTATACAGTCAGACCTCGTTATAGTCACTCTTGATATAGTCACAACCTTGTTATAGTCACACTATTTCTTAATCCTAGATATTATAAAACATATAAAATTTGACCTTTATATAGTCACACTTTTTTATAATCACCAAATGCTTGTTTTTCAACCTGGTGATTATATCGAGGTCTGACTGTATATATATAAAGATCAAATATCAAAATTTTGATTTATAACTTATATAAAATAAACAAAGTTTAAACTATTATAACTATTTAAAAATTAATTTAAAAGAGCTTTTTTATTTAGTAATTTTTAATAATTATTAAAATTAAATATATTTAGCTATTCCGTATTGTAATACGTACAAATAATATAATACTGTATATATATAGTTGCAACATTCTAAATACACTAAATATACTACTCTCGGGACGATAGTAAGATACACATTTAGAGAAGATATACTGTATACAGTATTTATAGAGAGCAAAATATATAGTGCAATTATAAGATGAGACCAGAGATTTCACATAGTCCGTGTACTTAAAGAGTGCATTTATGGAGTTGCAACTGTATACGTACTATAATATACAGCATATTAAATTTTATATAAAAAAATTTGTAATTTGTAAACCGACTGGGCTAAATCAGTTTCGAACAGAGGCTACAAACTTGTTTTAACTAGTTTAGAACCAACTATTTAAGACCGGACGAACTTTAGCATTTCTAAATTAGTATGCCAGTTGGCGCGGTACGTACGTAACGGTACATTAAAATATATAAGAACTATTTTATTTTTCAATTACGCATTGATTATGATAATACAGAGAACAATCAGCATTAACCAAAAAGGAGGTATCACAAGTATATAAAAAGCAATGACAGCATAAAATAGAAATGCACTATCCAATGATACAAGAAAAGAACTTTGCAACGAAAATTTTATATGTAGAATAGCGTGAAAAGTAAAATTATCCGTGTAAAAAAATCTTAAACTTGGCAAATCGGCTTTATTAAAAAGTACGAGATCCGCATCGTACATGCATTTAGTCACATTATCATTTTCGATAACTCGCCAATCAATATCTAACATAGGACCCTGAATTTTTAATCTGAACAATCAGTGTGAAATATTTAAATTCCGAAACTCATCATCAAACGAAGTTTAATTCACAAACACGTGAGATGTGTGAAATTCGTAATGATTAACAAAATTGAAACCTTTAAATGAAATATATGACGATATTCATTAATTAAATCTTCGAAAATATTTATAATATTTATATACATAGAATATTTATAACAAAAATACATTTAATTAATAAAATACACTTAATTAATACTATGAAATACTATGGTATATAGATATTATATAGATATTTTATAGATATTTTATAGATATTTTACTTAGATAAAAAAATAAAAGTTATCTGTAGATTTGTAGATATTACCAAAACAAATGCACAAATATCATTTTTGACGCAGATCGGACGATTATATTTATAAAAAGTAAGAGTTAATGTTGCTTTAATATGTTTTTAACACCAAAGATCAGCAATTCACACTGAAGAAGTTGAATTAGAATTAAGATTAAAGCTCGCCAATAAATTATTTCACATAAATTATTTCACAGGAGTCTAAAGCGAGTCATCGATCTCAGCATCAACTTTGAAAAGTAAAACAAGGTTCAAGATAATTGTTTGTATGTGTTATATAATACATGTAACGATAATACAAACAGCACTCTACGCAATGTATATATTTATATACAATTGTACTCACAACTAATATACAGTTTATTGATTGATATAATATAATATGGTGTGCAACCTTCCTTATTTAGAATCTAACTAAAAAAATTGAATAAAGTCAACTTGCAAACTAGTCACACAAAACAACACCACGCTTTTTTTTTACCCACCTCCTTTTGAGATTTGCGATTTTTCCATAATACACCAAGATAGAAAATGTGTATAGTTTTAGCTCTTTGCTATAACATAAAAGCTAAAGTGTAATATACTTAATTATACAAAAGAAATATGCCTCGAGCTTCCTCATCACCTGCACTCTCTTATATGTCCGGCAATAATGCCTGGCTAACTAATAATTATCCAACGCCTGATAACGCTCAATCTCCGCCAACAAATAATTCCGTCTCCACCTCTCAACCTAGTAATCCAAAAAATGTATCAAATTCTCAACAAAGTCACCCTCGAATGACTAGAGATTCTAGTCTTTTATCTGACCTTCCCCCAGGTGCGTGTTTCTCTGAAGATCCTTTACTAGGAAGCGCTACTTCGGTCCCTTCTTTTCCTCACGATTTAAGTGATACGTTTCCAAACACTCCACCAGAGGGCTCTCTCGATCCTTCCGTTCAAGAGCCGTATATTCATAACTATCAAGGAGAGAACGAGACAAATTTATCGCAGCAAGAAATATTGCATTCAAGTCAAAGTTCTGGTGGTAATCAAATTACTTCCACACTTGGTGCTGGACTTTTAAATGATAATGATAGATTGATCATGAATGCTCCCTCGCACGTAGCCCAATTAAACGTGCCAACTACTGATCTTGAACATGATTGGCCTTTGTTATCTCAATATCAATCTCAATATCAAGATGAAAATGATTATTTTCATATTTTAGAAAATGATCGCATAAATAACCTGTCAATTCCGAGTCATGTGGGGTACGATGGTGTTTTATATGGTGTTGAACAAAGTGCAAAAGCTCCCTTTATTTCTGAAAATTTGAACCGTAACTCTCAAAAAGATGTTATAAAATCAAATATATCAGATAATAAAGATACAGGACTTTCAAGAAAATCAAGAGAACATGGTACTATACCAGGTTCTCAGCCTCAAGTACTTTCAGAAAATATTCCCAGAAATACTGGTTCATTATTATCTGAAAAAGCTATCGTAAGTTCAGATGTTGAACATTCAGAGTATGATGATGATGAATTTTCAGAGTCATATGAGGAGGTGCCTTGGACCTTCATGAATAAGGTACTTTTATTTGAAGTTTCGTCTTAAAATTTAATAATTTATTAAAATAGTAATTTTTGTTTCACAGATTGGTGATGCGTTACGTAGGCAAAGTAATTATTTTGAAAATATGTCTAGTATGTTTTCAACGATGGAATTTGCTAAAGTGGATCCAAGTGATGATGACATCACTACTTCTACTCCCACCGTTTCTGAAACGAGGCGTAGTATGCGTCCAAGGTTTGTATTAAAATTATTTAGTGTTCAATTAATACCTATTATTATCAAATATTGTCAACTATTGTCAACTAGTGTCAACTAGTGTTAACTAGTATCAACTAGTATATATTATGAATCTTATTAAATTAAAATTATTATAGAAACAAGACTAGTTATAATTACCCACGGTATTCTTATCCAAGTGGAAGACGATCAAGGAAACGTCGACGTAAACATCCCCTTCGTTCAACGTCACATTCAGCAACTGAGAACGAAGCTGATGTTGATGATAATTCTATTTCAAATTCAAATTCTGGCCATGGTCATCAGGTTGAATCAGATGATCATACTTATGAATTATCTCCAGTACAAAGTGACAGAGAAGAAATCTCTGAAGATGTTTCTAGCACCACTGAAGATGTAAATAATTCAAATAATTTGTCACGGAAACACGATCTTCGTTCTAGGAAGGTCGGTTCAAACTATAAACTCCCTGGTACATCTATTGTGACCAGGCGTGCTAAGAGAATTAAAACTTCTCCAAAGATATCTATTCAAAAGATTTCAAAGAATGTGAAATTTGTTCCAAAACGTAAAAATATTCAACGAAAACAATCCAAACCAACAAAATTAGAAAAACCCGCAAAATCTAAAATACTTGTAAAAAACACAAGGCCAACTTATAGTCGTAAAAGAAAAGAAAAAGATGGTGAATGGAAAATGGGTGATGATGATGATTATGAATCTGATTCTGAAACATTGGATAGTCCCAGTGTGGGTACATCTGCTAAGCGTCATCGACCTCCTCCAAAACCGCGTATCCCTCTAAATACAAAATCAAGATCTCGTAAGATTCATACAACATCTAAACCTCAAACACCATCTAAACCTCAAACACCATCTAAATCTCAAACAACAACTAAACCTCAAACAACATCTAAACCTCAAACAATATCTAAACCTCAAACAACATCTAAACCTCAAACACGGTCTCTATCTAAACCTATCGAAGAAGTGAATAATGAAGTTCCAAGAATTAACACTAGAAAGCGTTCTTCGAGTCGTGCTCAACAATCAAATCAAGTGCCAGTTAAAAGACAAACTAGAGCTAAAAGTGGTGTCACGAGTAGACGTGCTAAAAAAGTTCAAGATGAAATTGTTGACAATAACGATAACAACGATAACGACGAAAATGTTGAGAATCTGGATGCACATGAAAAAATCTCTGATGTTGAATCGGATAATACTGATCCTATTGAAAATCCCATTGAAGAAACATTGGTTGTTACCCCAATAAAAAGTACATCTCATTCAAAGAGAGGTAGAAAACCAAAATCTACTAGAGGTGGCAATCGAAAACGAGGCGTAGGACGAAGTAGAGCTAGCAGCACGACTAGTGGTCATACTTTAATTGAAAAACCTTCGATTATTGATCCTGATCCTTATCTAGTTACTGTTTCTGTTGATAATCCACCTGTTGTTGATAATTCAATTCCAATTGTGCAAATTGATAATCCAGCTGTTGTTAATAATCCAATTGTGCAAATTGATAAACCTGCTGAAGTTGATAATAATGAAATTACACCTGCTGAAGTTGATCATAATGAAGTTACACCTGCTGAAGTTGATAATAGTGAAGTTACAAGAATTGACAATAATGAAGTTAAAAGTATTGATACTCTCGAAATTAAAGAAATTGATAATAGTGAAATTAAAAGAATTAACACTAGAAGTCGTTCTTCGAGCCGTGCTCAAAAATTAGATCCAGTACCGGTTAAAAGACAAACCAGGTCTAAAATTGGTATCAAGAGTAAGCGTACTAAAAAAGTTCAGGATGAGATTATTGTACCCGAAAAAATATCTGATGTTGAATCAGATAACGTCGATCCAATTGAAGAAACAGTGCCGGTTAAAAGACGAACCAGGTCCAAAAGTGGTATCAAGAGTAAGCGTACTAAAAAAGTTCAGGATGAAATTATTGAGAGTAACGACGAAAATCCTGAGGATCTGAATGTACATGGAAAAATACCTGATGTTGAGGTCGTTCCAATTGAAGAAACAGTTCCGGTTAAAAGACGAACCAGTTCTAAAATTGGTATCAAGAGTAAGCGTACTAAAAAAGTTCAAGATGAAATTATTGAGAGTAACGACGAAAATCCTGAGGACCTGAATGTACATGAAAAAATATCTGATGTTGAATCGGATAATGTTGTTCCAATTGAAAAAACAGTGCCGGTTAAAAGACAAACCAGGTCTAAAAGTGGCATCAAGAGTAAGCGTACTAAAAAAGTTCAGGATGAAATTATTGAGAGTAACGACGAAAATCCTGAGGATCTGAATGTACATGGAAAAATATCTGACGTTGAATCGGATCATATCGTTCCAATTGAAGAAACAGTGCCGGTTAAAAGACAAACCAGATCTAAAAGTGGTATCAAGAGTAAGCGTACTAAAAAAGTTCAGGATGAAATTATTGAGAGTAACAACGAAAATCTCGTATCTGAAAAAATATTTGAGGTTGAAAAGCGTATTAAAAAAGTTCAGGATGAAATTATTGAGAGTAACAACGAAAATCTCGTACCTGAAAAAATATCTGATGTTGAACTGGATAATGTCGATCCAATTGAAGAAACAGAAGAAACAGTGCCGGTTAAAAGACAAACCAGATCTAAAAGTGGTATCAAGAGTAAGCGTACTAAAAAAGTTCAGGATGAAATTATTGAGAGTAACGACGAAAATCCTGAGGATCTGAATGTACATGGAAAAATATCTGACGTTGAATCGGATCATATCGTTCCAATTGAAGAAACAGAAGAAACAGTGCCGGTTAAAAGACAAACCAGATCTAAAAGTGGCATCAAAAGTAAGCGTACTAAAAAAGTTCAGGATGAAATTATTGAGAGTAACGACGAAAATCCTGAGGACTTGAATGTACATGAAAAAATATCTGATGTTGAATCGGATAATGTCGATCCAATTAAAGAAACAGTGCCGGTTAAAAGACAAACCAGATCTAAAAGTGGTATCAAACGTAAGCGTACTAAAAAAGCTCAGGATGAAATTATTGAGAGTAACGACGAAAATCCTGAAAATCTGAATGTAAAAGGAAAAATATCTGATGTTGAATCGGATAATGTCGATCCAATTGAAGAAACATTGGTTGTTACCCCAAAAAAAAATACACCTTCAAAGAGAGGTAGAAAACCAAAAGCTACTAGAGGTGGCAATCAAAAACGAGGTGTAGGACGAAGTAGAGCTAGCAGCACATCCAGTGTACATACTCTATTTGAAAAACCTCCAATTCTTGATCCTGATCTAGTTGCTGTTTCTGCTGATGATCCAACTGTCCTTGCAAATGCTGTTCGTGTTTTAACAGCAGGTCAAACCTATGATATAGTAGACACACCTGGTAGTACTCCTGTTTCTCTGATAGATAGTCCACGCCTTAGTACACACTCTCCAGTATTTATGAAACCTGGAACTCCTAAATCTCGTTCCGCATCATTCACAAATGTGGACCGACCAGTTCTAGGAAGTGGTTCATCATCAGTTCAGACTTCTCAATCTGCTATTTGGACGAATGAACACTGGTACCAATTGAAAGCTCTTTATGAAGATACTAAAAATGAATATATTCAAAATGGCAAAAATGGAAGAGGAAATGAAGATGTATACAAAGAAGTTGTTGCTAAATTTATTATGATAGATGCGGATAACAAGTCTTTTGGAGAGTAAGTTGATTTTTAATTTTTAAAATTTGTTTATATTTCAATAATATCCAATTTCTCAATAAATAAATTTTTTTAGAGATAATATTCGCAAACGAATAATAGCTTTGGAGGCTGCAGAACTCGAAAGGCATTCAAATAGATTTAACCGACGAGGTAGCATTGATAGCACAAGTTCAATTGGCAGTCGGCCAAGTATTTCACGTTATGATTCGGCATATTTAAATATGCGCGATACAACACCTGTTTCAAAACGTAAACGCAGTGGTTCGACTTTAACTAACCTCGAGGTAAAATTAATATTATGAACAATTCACAATTTATTTTGTCCTCAATTAACCTTTTGTTTATGATCAGACCGAAGATGAAATTGAACAGTCTCCTTCAGCTCAGCGTAGACGTGTTATATCTGACGATGACACCAATGAATCACCTGTTCCAGCTAGCAGCAGTGCCTTCTCAAGATTGCTAAGTGGATTGTTTGGTAGACGCTCTAGTTCTGCTTCAAATTTTTCAAAAAATGACAACCAACTTGAAGATCCGACAAATGATGAAAACGAAGAACAACGCGGTGTTCCATCTGGCACTAGCCCTGCTCGTAAAAGCAAGAGTTGGCTACTATGGAATTAAACCAACCTTCGAATTTAATAATTTTTGATTTCAATTTTGTTTTTTTTTTAAAAAAATTAGGCATTTAAGTAAAGCAGTCGAATTAAATTTATACATCAATTTTATTTAAGATTTAAGTAAGAATTATTGTCTTTATTCGATTTTTTTTTTTTTTTAAGATGCTGCCATACACAAACTTTCAAAAATACTTTTTAAAATTCAGTGTTGGTACATAACCAGGTTATCAGTTTATATTACTAAGTTTAATTAGTAAGATTATATAATTATGGTTATATGACCTCACTAAATGAACTTTTTATGCCTTGGTTGTGCGTCAACACTTAAAATTTGGGCATTTACTAATCCCCCCCCCCCCAAGTTTCAATTAGAAAAAATATCGAGTATAGCATAACCAATCATTTTTTTTTTAAAAAAAAAAATTACATTAATTTCCAAATTTTATCTAAGAAATATTTTGTGAATTTAAAAAATTTTCGCAAAATTTTGGTTAGTGTTATGTTATTCACCAACTTTATTACTAACCTTAATTAAGATATAGTATTATATTTTTTAAAAAAAAGTGATGTAAATTAGTACGAATGATTTTGCCAATGAAAACTTGGGAAAATTAGTAAACTTAAAATTTGGGTGGTTTTTTTTTTGAGATTTTTTAAATTTTATTATTTTTTTTTTTACTGTATATACGTATATATATATTTTTTTTTGTTTACAAAATTATTATATTTGTTAAAATGTGTTTAATTAAATGTTTAAATTTTTTGTTTAATTAAAAATTGATTAAATTGTTTTTTGTATAATACTATATTGTGTATTAAATTTATTATATTTTTTAAATTAAAAATTAATTAAAATATATATAGTATATATAAGTATATATTTTGTATAGCAAATTATAGTTATATAGTTAATTTTTTTTAGTTATTTTTTCTATAGTTATGAAATTAATATAATTACATTTATTTTTATCAATTATTATTATTATTATTTTTTTTGAACTTATTGGCAGCCTTGCCAGTATCTTTATTAGATCAAAGCATATACACAAAGTATATTTAAACTATCTAAGTTACAGATCTGACATCACTCAGCTGCCCTAAAGGTGCCTAAGTGCGGTCTGCCTCACTGGTTAAGGCTATTGCCCATACTGGAGGGCTATACCAAGCTAGCTTAAAAAACCTTCACAAGACAGTTTCAAAATGAACAAATTTTTACTACATTAAGTTGGCAATTTTCTCTTTCTAATCTATCCACCTTTTCAACAAAAGTTCTAATTCTAATTTTCTAAGAATAAACCAAAATTTTTTCTCTTTCAAAACAGAGTTATTGCCAGAGTTCTTTCGTTCATATTTATATTTCTTTTTCCTTTTTCTCTTTTTCCAGTTTAACCTGTCCTTTCTGAATTAAGACCCAGGTCTTAAGAGTCTTCTTTTATTCTTTTCTATAACTTCCCCTTCTTGATTTATTACTTTGAACTTTCTCTCTTCTTTTTTTTAAGGGTTTGATCTGTCAGCTTCTTCTAGAAATATTCTTCTGTATCTTTTCTTTTTCTTTTTTTTTTTTTAGATACCATAAATCTTCTTCTGGCTTCTTCGTTTCAAGATCTTGGTTAGTCTGTTCGAGTTCTCTTTCTTTTGTATTCTGGATATAAAAGTCTTCTTTTCTTCCTTTCTTGGTCTTCCTACTTTTCTTTCTCTTCTGAAACTTGGTTTTTTTCCCAAGAATCTTTCTTGTATTTCATTAAAGATCTTACGATTTCTGAGATACCCTACAAAAATCTTTTCTAGTATTCCTAATAATGCATCCTTCTTTTTCTTTTTCTAATTTTTGACACCTCTCGGCCTTGATGTTGTTGTACTTTAAGACGGATTTGTATTCAAGTTCCATTGGGACTTCAGTCCATATATCAATTTCGCCAAAAGATCTTTTTTCATCTTTTTCCACATTTTCTTATTATATTTTGAATCGTCTTTAATACTAATTTGATATATTACCTCTGTCAACCAATCTTCTAGATTTGTTAAAATGATTTTGGGTCTTGATTCTTCTTGAATCTTGTCTAATGTTTTAGCTTCAATGAGACTAGGGATGTTTTGTTCTCTGCCTTTATCTTGTTTTTCTTTCTTCATTTTTTTTACTTTTCCTTTTTTGGTGTGCTAAGACAAATTTGACAGATACTTTGAAATACATTAATAAAGTTCTTAAATCTAAATTATTATTCTGCCTTTGTCGGATTTTTCTTTGTTCTTGAAGTTTCTTGCTCCAACCCATATCTAACTTTGATTTTATTTTGGCAGCTTGTCTTTTTTCTTGTTAAACTTGCATCTTTTCTTTTTTTTTTATTTCTTTTCTTGTTTTTTGTTAGTTTATTGCTGTGGTCCTGACCGATTTCTTGAAATGATATATTGTAAAATTTAGAGCTGTTTTGTTGAGCTGTCTTTGTCAGCTTTTTCTTTGTTCTTGAAGTCTTTTGCTCCAACTTGATTCTAATTTTGCCTTTATTGCAGCGTATTGTTTATTCCTTTCTACTAATAATCTTCTGATTCCATCAGCTATTCTTAATTCTACTAAATAACCAACAATTTCTTCTTTTATAATACAATTGACTGGGTCTATTCCTTGTTGAATTGCTTCCAGGAATATCTCTTGTTTTCTTTCTATAAGTGCAAGTTCTGTATACTTTGATTTTTCTATATTATAGTACCATCTATATCTTCACGTACTTCTTTTACTTTCATCTTTGTTAATTCAGCTATGACAGGTTTTTTCCAGAACTTTCTGTTGTTATTTTGCTTCACATGACTTGTTGTTTTCTGACTACTAATGTTTGTTGTTGTTGTTTGCTGTGGTTGTTTACTATTTTGGTTTGCTTTCGTCACGTAGTTTTTGTTATATTTTATTTGTTTATTTTCCATTACATGTT